TGTAGAATTGTGCTTTTGCTGGCTTACAGCGTGTTTCTAAAAATAACCAAACGCCATTACACGTTCAAGCCTTGTTCATATCTTCGAATGGTTATGCCGTTACAAACATATGTACATCTTATATTACATATAAAAAAAGCGCTCTAAAATAGTTGCTGACGCAGAATAAGTGGTAGTTAGTGGCAGAATGCACAAGTGCAACAGCAACAAACATCCAGCAATGAGAGCAGTAGAATAACTAATTATAAACGAAAATGTGCATTTTGCATTGGAATGTATTGCAGATTAAAGCAATTTAAACTGATGTTATGCTTAATTTTTCCTTTTTCTTGTTGTTAATTACATTGAAAATTTAAAATTACTTACGCATGCAATGCGTTGCATTCATAAAAAATTCCATTGCAATTTTAATTGAAGTGTTACTTCGATGAGTTTAAGAAAACGTAGCTGTGTTGGCGTAATCCCATAAATAATTCAATAAAAAATTCGATTGAAAATAATTACAAAAAAACGTGTCGTTAAGTTGCGTGGAAACACCCCAAATGTAGTAAATAAACTGCAGATTTAACTGGATTTTCTCATCTTTGGTATTCTAAAGAAACTCCGATTTACATATCGCACACCGTCTTCAAAATAGTCACAACTCAAAATAATACGTTTGTCAGAGAATGCGAAAAACTATTTCTTAGCACATGATAGTTATATGGACAAGTGCGACTTTACCTTAGGTTTTTTTTTAACAAATTATAACAAAAATTTGCTCCAGCTTCTGCTGAAAGGTAAATAAAAACTCTATGTACATTTTTGGCGCATAATCTCAAAAATGCCAAATTTTGAGTTGTGACTCTTTTGAAGACGGTGTGCGATATGTAAATGAAAAAAGGCGTTGGCGTGCAAGGTTGGCGCTGTTAGAGGGTGTGTACGTTAAAAACTTTGCATTTTTTAAGGCGAAACCAGTTTTGGAAGCTTTTATAAATACAAAAGCGCAACTTAAATCGAATTGGCGCTTTCCTCGTTTTATTACAAATTATTAAAATACGTCGATTTTTTTAAAGCATTTTGAATTACCATTAATGATTTTTAATTATACATAAGCACAATACTTGTATTCTGCGTTGTTAATTGATCGGTTAGAAGACTTATCAGGAGCTAAGCTGTTTAAATAATAATAATAATATTTTGTCGCTTAAACTATTGCATAGTGTCTGGCCGAGCTTCTACTCCAAGTTGTGGTGTACGCCCTTAAGTTAAAATTCAAATGGACGGACCTAGAGTTTTTCGCCGCCTCCGAGTGGCAAAAGGTTTTCTGAAAAGCTTTTTCAAGGCAGAAATAGTTGTACAATAGAATGTATCTTCAATTTAGATATAGCTTTAATTTAGAAAGCTTTTTTGATAAATAAAAAATATAGTAAAAAATGATGCCCGAAGAAAGGAAGGAGCGATTCTACCTTACTATGTTCTTATCATGGTTTCTAGTGAACGCGTTCCAGTTTTGGTTTAGTTCTACACGAGAACAAAATATGATGTCCAAAACATCACCACAAAAGACCCAAATGGGAACAAAACTCTCGTAAACATTCTCAAAACGAACAACGTGTAAACAAAACTCTCGAGAACGTTCTGAAGAAGAATATAATGAGAAAAAAACTTTTGGAACGTTTCCAATGAGAACAAAATAAGAACGAAAGTATCGAGAACCTTTTCAAGGCGGATCACATAAGACCACAAGATTTAAGAACTTTACATTACAAGTGAGAGGGGCATCTACGTATTTTGATAAAAAATCGTTTCAGTGAGAACCATGATAAATGAAAGCTAGATCATTTCAACTTTCAGATCGTGCATTACTAGGGTGAACTGTACATTGAACAATTTTTCATTTTCTGGGCAAGAAAAGTTCGTGTCTTAAGTCTTTCGTTTACTTTATATTTTTCAGTTATTTTTTGATAAATTTTAATTTTCAAACATTTCAAACAAATGGAACGCTATAAGCGAAATTTTATTATCGGTTACTTTCTTCGCGAATAAATCAGAGAGGATTTATTCCCAATTCGTTCTGTGTCAGAAAGCAGCTGAGACTCTAGTTCCCAAATTGTTTTTCGAGAGAATGTTTCTTAAACGTTTGTTCCCATTTTGTTCTCATAGGAATGTTCCCGAAAGTATTGCGCGCATTTTGTTCTCTTAGGGAACGTTCTTGCACTGAGGGAAATAATGCATAGTAAAAATGAATACTTTATATTTGATTATCGTTTAAAAATGTTCGTATTTAAAAATAATAAATTCATAAAAAATTTATTACGCACGTATTTGACTGTTCACATCTGAGTATGTATATGTAAGTGTACATACGCACCCCAAGCATGCAGATACATGTTTATCCGTACAAATCGCGTGCTGAGGTGTTGATGGATATTAAACATTTGTAAGCAAATTTATATATCTGGGTGTAGCTGAGTGCGCAAAGATGCTTGCCACAAGTTGTGGATATCCGGAGATATCTGGGTTCGAATTCCACTGCAGGCAACATGCAAATAACATTTTTTTTTTTAGTTTTTGTCTTGATTATTCACTTCACGGATGCTTTTTCAGTACGAACGCGGTCATTTTAATATGCGCGTAATTGAATTGAATATTTACCAATATACAGTACTTTCGTTGACGTTTATAGTAAGATCAATTACGTTTCTATTTGATTTTAATATTTTTTCCCCTCAGTGTGGGAACAGCTACGAGGACGACATTTAGTTTCAATCATAGCTGTTGCACACAGTCCTTGGTTTCTAAATTTTCTGACACAGTTTGAGTTTGAAATTATTTTCCATAGGATGTTGCACATATTTCCCATATAGAAACATTTGTTTCATTGAAAAAATTAGAACAGATCCGGAAAAAAAAATTTCAAAAATCCCCAAGAACTTTGTGCCGCTTCTAACTTGCACTTTATTATACCATAATTAAATGGGCTTTTAAACGGCGTACGTGAAATTTTCCTAAATTTTTTATTAAAAAGTTCAAAATTTTGATGAAAATTTGATATTTTTTTTAGTTTTGCACGAAGTTTGAAACTTTAATTTTCATAGTTTTTGTAGCAGTTTGAACTATATTTTTAAAGAAAATAATTTTTTTTTATTAATTTACAAAACTTTACCAAATTTTCTTAAAATGGTGGTGGTAATGTGTAACAGTGTACTTATTCCTTTTCAAGACTATTAATAAAAGTACATCACTTTGTTATATACATATATTTATACATACAAAATATCCAGCTACTGTCACATAAGTCTTATATTTACATATATCGGTTTCTGATAAAAATCTTATCAAGTTCATATATGCTATACAAGTATTTATATATGTATCTCAGAGAAGTTTCAAATATGTACCAACTGCATCTTTCCGTCCACAAGTTTGTTAATCTATTTCAGTGGTTATACTAAATTTTTCTGTCAGGTTTGACAGCTATAACGCTAACATAACTTTAAACAACTATGACATGAATCTAAACAAAATATGCGAGTTGAAAGGTCGGCTATACGGATGACGTCAAGAGAAAAGGAATTCAGTTGGAACGAATGGCGTGCAAGTGTGATTATAGAAATTAAATGCCTAAAAAATGTCTGATGTGAGATAACAGCAAGACAGTAGAGTTTTTCATTTCAACAGGTTCATTAGCAAATTTTTGATACAAATCCTATGACAGCAAAAAATGTATATCTGAATAAAAATATATAATTAACGTGAGACTTAACAATATTTAAAAAATAACGCAATTGTACCTACTATTTTTTCTTTTCTATTATAATACTACTAAAACTTTCACAATTATTTATTGCGTTTTGAGCAGCTGAATTTATTAAGAAAAAAAATTATCATATGATTTCAAAATATTTTTTATTGGTCCCCTCAATGCATTTTCTGTGGTTTTTGGCGGACCTATAAAATACAGTTACTATAAAAAAGTGAGTAAGTAAATAATTGGGTATTTTTGCTGGGAATCTCTTGAAGAGAAACAGGGTTTTCCGATCGAGTAATATTGATTTTCACTAATTCTACACCATTTCTACGAAAAGTTGTTTATATAAAATACATGGCAAACTTTGAGCGCTGAGAGTGACCTCTAATTCCTTTTTGATTTCAAAATATAAAAAAATAGGGGTGAACTTATTTTCGGTATAGAACAATCCTAGGGGTGAGAGCATAAAATTTCCGACTTAACTTTTTCACATGCATTTTTGGATCACCCTAATTTACATGCGTATGTATGTATGATTTTTGAATATTTCTAACATGGCTGCGAAGATGTTTGGGCATTCATATCAATGGTNCTGAGTTTTTAATCTAATTAAACTTTCTTCTCTGCATAGTGATATCGTCATCACATAAATAAAAAAAAACAGTAGCTCTGTGAGTCAGAGGTTTTGGTTTGATTCTAACTCGGCTAAAAAAGATTTTGTACGCTCTAGTCTAAACAATGCAATCAACGTACGTAGGTATGAATTTACACAACGTCATGCCTTACCAACCTAACTGACTTACTAGACGACTTGCTGCGTGCCATTAAGACAGGCTGTCCATCTTAAACGCTGATTTTCGGTACTCATAAACGTTTATCTATGACAAATATGTATGTTTATACCTAGCTAAAGGAAGCGATCACCAACGGAGTAGGCTTGAGTGATGGCTGTACATATGTACAACTGCACATGCATACAAATGCTCTGTACATGCACGTACTGTTAAGTGTCATTTAGAGTAAGAGATACTGAGCAAATGCACGCACTTACATATGTATGTATGTATGCATATAGATGACTTCAAATATATTTACAAATAAACACTCTTATCTACAAGTGTATATACATACTTATGTATGTAAAGATGTGAATACTCGCATATCTTATATTCATTGATGCATGCATATGTACATATGTACATATTAATATATGAGCTAGATGAAAGTGAAAACTTTCCTTTAAACACTGGACCACACTTCGCATCTAGTCAGTCTCATTTTGTGCACGCAACGCGATCATATTTCGGCAATAAAAATTAAATTAAATTAAATCAAANTTTTGTGCACGCAACGCGATCATATTTCGGCAATAAAAATTAAATTAAATCAATTCAATTACAAATTACAAATTACGTGCAGTGCATTGGACTCCCACTAATACTGCGCTGAGATGCAATTAAAAAGTAAGGAAAACAATCTACACAGACTCGGCTAGCGTAAGAGCAACTCGCTTGAAAGTGCAGTGGAAAAAGGATATTATCTTTACCATTTTTTTNTTCAATTACAAATTACAAATTACGTGCAGTGCATTGGACTCCCACTAATACTGCGCTGAGATGCAATTAAAAAGTAAGGAAAACAATCTACACAGACTCGGCTAGCGTAAGAGCAATTCGCTTGAAAGTGTAGTGGGAAAAGGATATTATCTTTACCATTGTTTCGAAAATCTAACAATACGTTCACTTAATCTTCTGCGCGAAACCTTCACTTGTAGCTTATCTACAACCTTCTAGAACCTTGCTTTCATCATGAGTTGACGCCGTGCAGTGCTGCTCATTCACTACGCTCAGCCTGAGTTCGTGGACACAAATTCAACGATTTTCTGCCCTTAAATACGCTATTGTGTACAGGCTATACTACATTTTCATATACATTTATTGATAAGCATTTGTATACAATATTGTATTTACATACATGNGAGTTGACGCCGTGCAGTGCTGCTCATTCACTACGCTCAGCCTGAGTTCGCGGACACAAATTCAACGATTTTCTGCCCTTAAATACGCTATTGTGTACAGGCTATACTACATTTTCATATACATTTATTGATAAGCATTTGCTTATTTATTTACAGAGCAGATAGTTAATTGTATACAATATTGTATTTACATACATACTCATACGATAACTCATATTTATACGCTAACTAAATACTTATTCTTTTGGGGTTTTTCATTCTATTTACAGCTCCGGCTATCGGGACGAGACATGTGCAATGCTTCTTGTGTTTTTGTTGCCTATCAATTTGCTATGCGTTACGCGTCAACCTTAGCGTGGGTATTGTTGCGATGACAGACCGAAATTCAACGAATAGCGATCTTAAGGTGAGTGAGAATTGCATTGAAATTGATTTGTACGTATTTGAGAATGAATTTTCATCGTTCATTGTCAAGTTTGTTGTGCCGAAATCCTGGAGATACTGGCACAATGACGAAAGCGTTTTGACTCCAAACTTGACGAGGTGTGGCCAAAATTCATTCCCAAATTTTCTATATTCTCAGNCCGAAATCCTGGAGATACTGGCACAATGACGAAAGCGTTTTGACTCCAAAGCAAACTTGACAAGGTGTGGCCAAAATTCATTCCCAAATTTCCTATATTCTCACCCTGTGGGAAGAATCAACCCACATCAACAACTACACATTGTTTGGCAAACCTTCTTCTCCAGTTTTTCTTGAAGTGATCAAAGAAATGGATAGACCTATAGCTTATCGCCGCCTACAGATGGCTGATGGTATTTTGTGAGAAGCTTTTGCATGGCAGAAATGCACTCAAGGAAACCCCATTGTCTGCCGAAGGGCGACTGCTATTAGAAAAAAACGTTGATAATAGTCGGACCGCGTTCTATTCTGAGTCCTTCCTAGTGGTAGTATGCACGCATTACCACTGAGCTACGGCGGCCGCCTTCACCAACACACCAACAAGTAATTTCGGAAATATAAGTCCAATCCCTTACGAAGTTTCTAGCTAGAAGTGGCTACCTACATATTCTCCTGCCATGCCTTTAATTATCACCGTTCCCCAAATGCCTTTTAGTTGCTCACTCCAACTCTTTTTTTTCCTAGAATATTGATTGACTCATGCAAGCTATTTAAAAGTTGTTTAGCGAATATGCTACACATCGAAGCATATATATGCTTCATATTTTCCAGAAACCACATCTTACATAAGCAGACATAAAATACGTAAACATAGTCTCTTAAAAAGTCAAAGGAGATTCGCCAAAAAATGTGTATCTCAATCAAATCGATTTTGGGTAAGTACGATGCTATCTACATTTCAATTGGATTGGAAACCTTCAAGGGCAACAAGTGATTTGAAAACCATTCCTTGACGATTCCGTCAGGAAATTCACAGACAAAATGATATCAAAATTAAGTTTCAATAAGCTTGAAAGGGACCCTTGAGGAGAGTCAATCACCATGATTGGCAAGTGGTTCCAAATCTTTTATACTTATGAATATAAGCATTTGGATCGCGGTTCCAAAAAAGGTGCACGAAAGGACCCGAACTGAAAAATACCCTAGCCCTGTAACCGTCTGAGCTAATACCTATCGAAGCTGAAACCGACATACCAAATGAGTGTTCAGAATGTGGACAACAGCAATTTCTTCACATGCCCACTCAAGCCTACTCAGCTAATATCCATCTCTCTCTTTCTCTGGTCCAACCCCGTCGAAACATGACAAGCAGCAAGAAACAATCCAAGAGGGAGAGGTTCTTTTTAGAGCAGTTTCTGTTGATCGGTAGACCACCTATCAGAACTGATGCTTTCTATTTTAGATAACAACACGTCGAAAGGTCATAGGGTAGGTAAACACTGCCTCCTGTGTGTAAGTACATGGAAATCAATATTATTTAGATATGCAAAATAATTTTGTAATCTCAGATCTATTTAGAAAATTAGGAGGTCCCCGGTATAACAATGATCCATTAGTCCAACTTTTTCTAGCCCTGAAAAATCTAGCGCAGAAAAAGTCCTAATGGTTGAGTAAACTTTCTTGCTATAGTAAGCTTCACTGCTACAATTTTGAAATGGTTACCCATCATGAAAATATATTGCCGATACTTGTCTTCATATGAATCCTCCGCTGACTACAAATGTCACATTTTTCTACACTTCTAGTATTTATTTACGTTCTTCTTACCTTCTCAAAAACGATCTCTAACCTTAAATTTCTTTTCCAGGTCTACGACTGGGATGAGGGCACCAAATCATATGTGCTTAGCAGCTTTTTCTGGGGCTACATCATTACACAAATACCCGGTGGACATATAGCACAAAAATACGGCGCCAAAACACTTCTGCTCATCGGCATCACGCTCTGTTCTGCATTAACGCTACTCACTCCATTGGCTGTTAAAATTGGCGGTTGGCAATTACTTTTCGCACTGCGCGTCGTACAAGGACTGCTGCAAGGTTCGGTGCATCCGGCGACACACGCTATGTTGGCCAAATGGGCGCCTGTTGATGAACGTGGCGCGCTCAGCACCTTCTGTTATTCGGGTTCGCAATTCGGCACGGTAGTCGTCTTGGCCATAAGCGGTGTAATTGCTGAATCCTCACTCGGCTGGCCTGGCATTTTCTACATCTCTGGCGGTTTGGGCATCGTTTGGGGCATTTGTTGGTTCTTCTTCTCAGCCAGCACGCCGGCGGAACATAAAACGATCTCACTAGAGGAGCGTAAATACATAGAAAACTCGTTGGGTCAAGTTGATTCGACGCCGCGCACAGTTGCGCCTACGCCATGGGTGAAGATCTTCACCTCACCGCCATTCCTATCGCTCATCATTGTACACTGCACGCACATGTGGGGCTTCTGGACGTTGCTAACACAAATTCCCAACTACATGAAGAATATACTGGGTGTGGATATGAAAAATAGTGCGTTGCTATCGTCGTTACCCTATGCCGTCATGTGTTTGCTGAGCTTCTTCTTCATCTACCTGTCCAAGGTGTTGGCGCGTCGAGAGAACGTATCGCTCTCATTCAATCGCAAATTCTTCAACTCAATCGGTCACTGGATACCAATGATCTCACTCATCGCATTGGGCTATGTCACGCAGGAGCATGCCATGCTCGCTGTTGTGCTGCTCACGCTCACCGTCGGTATCAGTGCTGCCACATATCTGGGCTTCCAGGTGAATCACATCGATCTATCACCAAATTATGCGGGCACGCTGATGGGCATCACCAACGGCTCAGCGAATGTGATGAGCGCGCTGGCACCGCTAGCCGTGGGTTTGGTTGTCACCGATGTGGTAAGTTTGTGGGTAAAGGTTTTGCTTGAATGTGCGCAATGTATTAAAAATATATTTTTCCACTTCCAGACAAATGCGGCAGACTGGCGCACTGTGTTCTTCATTGCGGCAGGCTTCTACTTTGTAGGCAATTTGCTTTTTGTCATATTTGGCAAAACCGAGGTGCAAAGTTGGAACTCGCCCGAAGATGCGCTAGCGAAACGCTTGAATGTGGTGGATGCTGAAACGCCTGCGCTGCTGCTGAATGGCGATGCAAAAAAGCCAGTAGTAATCAAGGAAAACGGCAAGCAATAGGCCAACGCTCAACGGCGGACATTGTTGGTTCCGTGTACTCTATAAGTAGTTGTAGTAGTTCAGTAAGCACACAGAAGACCTCCTAGTTGATAATTTGTAGGCTTATGTATTAAGGCTCTTTTGAATGATTCCTGTTGTGCGTGTAACGCGACATGTTGTGATAGTTAGATAGATGTTGCAACTGTATGCGTTGCAGGCGTTCTGCGATAATGTAATTTATATATATTTTTCCTTATAAGTAAAATATACATACATTAAGTATTTTATAGTAAAAAGTGCGAGTAGGGGACAAAACCAGTTAAAAATGGCTGCCCTGCACGCTTGTACATATGTAAGAAGTGAATATGTAAATAACTATGTAAATCAGTCACGAATGTAAGATGGTGGTTCCAGATGGCCAGTTAAGCACAATTAGTAAACTTATTAAATGTTTATGCATGTACGTTAAATAAGACCCAGACGAGCTTCCAAATATCTAGACAAAATTTCGATATTATATTTTTAATGAAAAAATATGTAGATAAGCAACAAAAAACAAAACAAGAACATATTTTAATGTAATTAAAACTAAATAATGCATAAGACATTTTTTTTAAATTAAATTGTACACAGTATTTGTTTTGTAATGAATTTAATAATTTGAATTTATTCGGTGAAATTCGTTGAACAAGTGGCGCATGTTGACGAAAGTGTTGAGCGAATGAGTACCGTAATATTTACCTAGAACTGATAATATTGTTTATATTTTCACTAATTGCAACTACTGATTGCAATAATCGAAATGCCTTACATCACATTGTTTGCAATTGCTGTTGATTATTCTTGATTCAGCTATTCGCTTAAAAAATAACAACTTTAACTTTGTTTTTTTTGCTATTTGAAAAGTATGGTTTTCTTATTATTTTTCAGCTTATGCAATACATATTATGTAGTTGCGCAAACATCGCAGTTGAAACACTTGTATCAAGAAAACTAAAACTTTTGTCAGTGACGAATATCATAAGCGGTGCTGAGCTTTCTAAATGCCCTTCGAGTAAATTGCCACGTGAATGGAGCACGCGAGGTGGCTTTTTGCAGGACCCCTTATCGCGCTTACGTGAAGCTACACAGTGTTACCAAGGATAGGGTGGTCAAGTTTATATAATCGAACAGTCCCTAAAGTCCAGTGCTTTGAGCCCTTTTGTATTGACAATATCGAACCCTAACCCCCAGAAATACGTATAAAATTTTCTTTTTGATGCAGGCATGCATCTAGCTGCTCTAAGAGTGTTTCTGCAGCAAAAATAAAATTTCGTAAAAAATGTTGCTTACGTCTTTTTGACGGTTAGGGGTCGATAGTTTGCAACAAGTTATAAGCATCGTCAAATTTTATGTACGTCCAGTTTATGCAGTTTGTTTTAGATTAAATGCACACTTAATTTTAGCTTGTTATATTAGAATAAGTTGTGTATTTGTTAAATTTTTCTAAGCTGCAATAATTTATTTTTTATCATTGATATAAAATGCACAAATTTTATTTATAATCACTTAGTTCTAATAATAAAAGAATTTGAAAAAAATAAAATAAAATATACCTACCTATCGAAAAAAGAATATTAGCCGAATCGGAATTGAGAACTAGAAAAAAATCAATAAAATTAAAATTATTGGGAAAAAGATAAAAGCTTGCCTTTTTGCATACTTATTTAATTCTTCTTATTCTTATTGTTGGGGTTATTTTTATTGAAAGCGTAGGCGGTAGCCAGCATCGCATCAAGCCAAAGCATCAGTCATTTTTATTTGTAAATTACAATTGATGGAAATCACCAAAATGCGAAATCACTGTTAAATGCCGAATTGATACTTAAAAGCATTCCATCAGTTATAGTTTAGAAATAAAAGAGACACACTCGTAGTGCACATTGCGTAACATTGATACATATAACAATTAACAGCGATTGAATGGATCTTCTCGATTAAAGTGACTTCATCCCTAAAAGTATACAACGGGCACTATAAGATAGCAAAGGATCAGAGCGGGTTGAATCGCCCCGTGCCTCGAATTTTTAAGGGACATGAAATATCCCTGTAGCAAATAAAACTGGTTCAGAACTAGCGCCGAACTAGCTTGAAAAGGGACGGTACTGGTTCTTCATCTATCCCAAATCAATGCTTTCAACTTTCTCTTTTAAGATGACGATGTCTTAAGAAGTGGTAACTTCTGAACTGGTTCCATTTTGGACAGATATGGGACAATAAGTTTTTTATGAGAAAAAGTGTGATTATTAGATTTTTTGATATTTTTGCGATTTTACAAGCTTTTTTAATTTCATTTTTATTTATTTTTATTTTTTTTTATGATACCTTTCATGAGCATGAAATGTATTATATCTTTGGTCCGATGTTTGTAAGTAGCAGAATAAGAAGAAATAGTCCCATTAAAATGTATACTTAAATGATCAGAATTTCGAGCTGAGTCGATTTAGCCATGTCCGTCTGTCCGTCTGTTTATATGCAATCTAGTCTCTCAGTTTTCGAGATATCCGGATCAAATTTGGTAGGTGGGTGTATTTTTATAATGTATTAATCATTTATCGGAACCCGAAGAATCGGACCACTGTAACATATAGCTCCGATACAACTGATTGTTCAGATATGACATTTTTCGTTATAGCTTCTCCATCTATGCAGCTAGGAACATGAAATTTTGCAATACTTGCACCCATTATCAACAGAAAACTAAGAGTGAAAATTACAAATATCGGGTCACTATAACCTATAGCTCCCATACAACTGATTGTTCAGGTATGCGATTTTTTGTTATAACTCCTCCATTTATGCAGTTAGGAACATGAAATTTGGCACTGTTGCCGCTCATTACCAAAAGAATACTTTCAGTGAAAATGACGAAGATCGGGTCGCTATAACCTATAGCCTCCATACAACTGATTCTTCAGATATGAGATTGTTTGCGATAACTTCTCCATTTATGCAGTTAGGAACATGAAATTTGGCACTGTTGCCTCTCATTACCAAAAGAATACTTTCAGTGAAAATGACGAAGATCGGGTCGCTATAACCTATAGCCTCCATACAACTGATTGTTCAGATATGAGATTGTTTGCGATAACTTCTCCATTTATGCAGTTAGGAACATGAAATTTGGCACTGTTGCCTCTCATTACCAAAAGAATACTTTCAGTGAAAATGACGAAGATCGGGTCGCTATAACCTATAGCCTCCATACAACTGATTGTTCAGATATGAGATTGTTTGCGATAACTTCTCCATTTATGCAGCTAGAAACGTGAAAATTCGCGCCGTTTTCACTCATTGTTAACAGAACACTTATAGTGAAAGTAACAAAGATCGGGTCACTATAACATATATCTCCCATACAACTGATCTCTCAGTTATGAGAATTTTCGTTATAACTCCTCCATTTAGGCAGCTAGGAACATGAAATTTTGCACTGTTGTCACTCATTATCAAACAAATACTTTCAGTGAAAATTACGAAGATCGAGTCGCTACAACCTATAGCCTCCATACAACTGATTGTTCAGATTCGAAATTCTTTGTTATAATTTCTCCATATATGCAGCTAGAAATATGACATTTTGCAATATTTTCACTAATTACCAACAGAAGGTTTACAGTAAAATAAACAAAAATCCGGTCACTGTAACATATTTATATCCTCCATACAACTAATTGTTCATATATGGAGTTTTATTGTAAAACTCCTCTGTTTGAACAGCTAAAACCGATAAATTTCGTGAGCTATTTTTTAAATAATAATACAAAGTCTACTGAGAAAATCGTCAAAATACATGCTGTATAAGCTTTATCTCCTATACTACTGATTGTTCAGATACCAGTTTATGCGATATATCTCTTTTATGTAGGAAGCTAAACCCATTAAATTGTATTACCGGTTTACATACCGATCACACAGCAATGAAAATCACTTAAATTGGTGTTATATTCTGTATATCTTCCATACCTCTGATTGTTTAGTTATGATTTTTCATAAATATATGTATCTCCTCTATCTAGGTATTCTGTAAATATATACATTTTTTCAAATGCAGTAATCTGTTAAAGTAAAATTTTCAGATTTTCATGAAAGGTATGAAGCCTTCGGCATAGACAGCGCTGCTCTTACTTCTTTTTAGTTTATTTAATGTTTATTATTTTGCTGTGAAAATATTGCTGATTACTCAACAAAGATTATTCAATTACTAAATTTCTGCAAAATTTTATCACAATTTTTAACTTTTTAATCAGCATCTTTACAAAATAATATGGGAGCAGTTTTGTAGTCCATTAAAATTTAGTATAATATGGTGAAAATTTCAAGTAGCTAGGACAAAAATGATTTTTGTAATTTTTTTATAACGATGTTTCAAATTTTTTCCATACATAGTATGTTCTAAAATTTTTTGGAAAAAAATGCGGAACACCGTCAACAAAAAATTGCCAAAAATCAACGGTAAGTGGAAGCTACCTTAAATTTGCACTTAACTGTACTAAAATTTTAAATTAAAAAAATGCAGAATTTTCATAATTTTTGCATAAAATATGAAATTTGGATTTAAATGGTGTTTGTAAGTAATCAGCTATACTTTCATAAAAAAGAATAAGTTAAATGCCGCGTCCCCGTTCATATTTGGGTCACTTAGTATATATTCACATAAAATAAAAATCATTAAAATCGGCCCAGTATTTTAAGACCTTTTGGATTAGAGAAAATTCTTTCAATTTTATATACTTAAAACAGTCCGAAAATTTTCTCCGAGATAAAGCTAGCAGTTTTTAATAGATTTTGGGTCGCCAAATTTGTAAAAATGGAAACTTATAGGTATGTACATACATATATTTGAATTTTAATAAAATACGGCAAATAACGAAAACGGCTAAATTTTTTTTGCAAAACGGCTAACAAATCGGCTGCCGGCTAAATCGAATTTTCTCCGGCTGTTTGTTATCGCAACCAGCTAAATCTAGCCGGAAAATGGCTCAACTGGTCACACTGGCTGGGAGCAGGAATCGCTCTTTAGACCTTTAGTTTGGGCTAAACTTGCTTTATTTTTTACGACTATTCAAAAAAGCAGGAGCATCTCCTAACAGTAAAATTAATATCTAATGAACGTTTTGAAAAAAGATAATAATCAAAATCGGGTTGGATTCGAAGAGTAGGCAGCTTTTTTGATACAAAAGTACTTTTCCCACTATGTGCCAGTGGATAGATAATGTGCTCAAATAAGACACATTAAAATGTAAAATCAAATTTCGTTATGTTTCAGATGTTAAGCGGTCGGACAGAAAGGTACTTAGTTCACAAGATCATAAGTGACTGCAGTGTAGATTTAAACTATCACATAGTTCATGAAATTTCGTTTCTGGTTTTTGCTTTCGTTTGATAGAAATTGTAGAAAAAATTAAGCAAAACGAAGAGAATTTCAACATTTGAACAGTCAGGAAAAATTAATAAATTTTGCTTACATCTAAGCGAAACGGCAACGCTGGACACAGCTGCTAATTAGAAAATAAGAATAAGATTCTTAACGTCGCTTGAACGAAAATTTTTGAATTCAAAGAAAAAAGAATAAATTTGAACGTGGAGCAAAAAACATTGATTGTACATAATGTAATACAATTTTTCATGCATATATTCATGCATGCATTTTTTTTTTTTGTGGGGAATTTCAGTTTACGTGGGGAATCGGGGGATGAACTGTTTTTTGTGAGGAATTAGATGTTGACTAATTTTTTCATAATTTCATAAGTTAAAAAAATTGCATAAGAAATGCGACTGCAACTAAAAGTACTGATTATGCGACCCTGGAAATTTTGCAAATTACCGTTGATTTTTTAGAAATTTCTTTGTCGCATTTCCTTTCATACAACGAAGAAACACAATTTATTTTTATGTAGAAGAAAACCGCCTTCGGGAAAAATATTCTAAAACAAAAATGTTTAGCCACTTGAAACTTGCACCTTAGAAAATCAAATTAAAAAGCTCGAAATTTTTACGGAAATTTTTTGATCTCTTATTTTTTTTTAATATTGCACAAAGTTTGAAACTTGAATTCATACGAGTTTTGTTAAAGAATGAACTATATTAAAAAAATAACTCAAATTAAATAACAAAAAAAGAATAATTGTTAAAAAAACTGGTCAAAATTTGGGTCGACTAAATTTTTTTCGACCACTGTATGTTTGTAAATATTATACATATATAATATTTTTTTTTTTGTAAATAAGGAGATATCTATGGGTGGGGAAATTGACGAAATTTCGGGCAAAATCGGGGAATTTCATTGCCGAAGTCGGGCAATTCTCAAAAATGAGTTGGCTGCCCTGGTATGTATAAACGCTTAAAAGAAATATGTGTTGAGTAAAATTGGGGTTTTGTTAATCCGGTTCTTGCGTAGGTATAAACAAGGTACATAATGAAGTATGTACTTATAACAGAATCTTTCACTCAAGGTCCAATAAAAATGTATAAAATATAAAATATTTTCTGGGACTCACCCGTTCTTTTGACCAAGTTGAAAGGCAATTGAGAAGCGTAGAAATGCGAGACCTCATCAGTAACATGTTTATGAACACAAGCACACATACATATGAACGATGGCCCTCGGCAAACAACGGCACCACTACAAACACTTAACAAAACACATTTTGCACTTAAATACTTAATTTAAATCACAATTTAATAAAACTTTTCACTAGAACCGCAGCGCAGAAAAACGAGCAGTAAACACTTGACAAAGTTAGAATACGATTGAGGAAACGGAATTGGAGTTGGCACAAACACAGGCAGGAAGGAAATCAAATTTAAATTTATAATACAAGTTATGACACAAACCGCATAAAAATAAATTCAAATTAATTTTCTATTTGTAAATCCCAGATAAGCATGTACTAACAAAAATATTTCACATGACTCACCCTTTCATTTGATCAAACATTTTTCATACACCCATGTCAAAATTATAAGCGCACCTTAAATTGACAAATTATAAAAACTAATTTTTTTTAGCCGACTTCAAACATAGGGGAAGGTTATCAACTCCTCGGAATATTTTTATTTTTTGTATGTATTTACACGCGAATTTTTGCAAGTACGTTTACGCCGAAAGTTTCGTAAATCTCTATTTCTGGCTTCCAAGGCCACGCATAACTTTGGACCAGTTTAATGGATTTCTATAAGTTTTTTTTAAGGAAAAGTAGTACCTCCGAGGTGGTCCCATACTAATCCTGAAGAAATTAACGGTACTGTTTAATGTGTTTATGACAATTGAAGATGGTTTTGTTTTTTGCTTAAACATTACTTGTTCTTATTTACTTTTAGAAATTTTTTGTTTATAAAAACACAGTTTAGTCTTTAACGAAGGTGGTATAAATTAAAGTTTTAACTTTGTGAAAAATTTGCAAAAAAAATTCAACAATTTTTCATAAAAAAATAAATTTTTAGCTATATATTTTGAGTATGCAGGTTTATACAGTATGCGAGCTCTAGCTTGGACTTAGTGTTGATTTTCTGGGTTTTTAATTTTTTTTGCTGAAGGTGTTTCTAATTTGCCTACATACCTATAAAAAAAAACTCCTCGAACAAAAATCCATGCTCAGTACACAAGGTATTGAGTCATGGAGCGGATATTATTAAAAGTGTACCGCTGCCGATAGGCACGACATCGGAAGAGGCCTTGGAAGCCAGAAATAGAGATTTACGAAACTTTCGGCGTAAACGTACTTGCAAAAATTCGCGTTTAAATACTGTGGGGGCTTTCATGATCTCTTCAGATTCAGCCATAACAAGTTTGTGCAAAACTTCGTCAAATAACTCTGGCAAAGCACTTTTTATGACAGGAAAGCCCAGATTCTCTTTTTGGATTATCCCGAAGAATCAGAAAAATCCGATTCGGATTCGGAGAACTGACCCCAAGTATATGGTTTTTCAATATTCAATATTTATAAATAGCCAAAATAAAGTAAAAAAAAATTAGTTACAAACAAAAATAAATTTAAATTATGAAAAAAAATGTTTATTTTGTTCCTTTTTGAGTTAATGTTACATTAAAATTGCCAACTTTGTGAAATTTTCTTTATATTTTGAGCAATTAATTTCGTTACTCTAGATCAGCCAAATCACCCACTGTGCGACGGCTTAACACACAAGAAGACGGAACTCTTGACGATAGGAACACAGAGAGGAAAAGCAGAAATTTTCATTTGCATCAAATTTATTACCCAAACGACGTTAGCACCTCATAGTATAAATATTAAGATTTGTGTATTGCAATCGATAGTTCGTCGATTGTTCTTTAATGTTCCTCCATTTTAAAAGTTTGTTCAATAGCCAAAGATGATAATTTTTCAATTTTCAATTTACGTAATTCCTGTATTTAGCACCCGCAACAGATGGGTTAATTATTAGTTGTATTTAATGAGCTGCTCTAGGTTGCGCCAGGTTAAGATATCTCACAAAATTGTGTTTCATGAGGATTTCTCTTGCTCTAACTTACTCTACTTTTTGTTTCATGGGCATGCGCTAAGTGGAACTGGAGCAACTTAGAGCACGATTTTCCGCACCAACTTTTTTAATGGAATAACTTAGAGCCAGCAACCACACACACACACACTTTGCAATTGACGAATTGAACTGTCGAGCAATCAACTGTTTTGAGAATTTATGCCTGAAAAGTGTTTCATGAGATTTATGATCTGAGTTGCTTTAACTTGCTCCATTGTTTTTTTGGCAGGTGCTCTATTCTGATCTAACTTGAGCTGCTCTGCACTTTTTTCGGTTTCATTAAACACACTTATTATTGTAATCGATAGTTCGTTCGATTATTCTTCATTGTTCGTCCATTTTTAGCGTTTGTTCTTCAGCCAAACATTTATAATTAATTTTTTACATTTTACAGTTTCTGCATTTAGCACCCCAGGTGTAAGGATTTCATTATTTTAATTGTATACCGTTTATTCGTCGTTTTTTCATCCGATTTAATTAAAAATTTGTTTTTTTATTAGGTTTAGGTGCCTACAAAAATGATCGATCAAATAAAAGGATGAGTCATGTGAAATATTTTTGTTAGTACATGCTTATCTGGGATTTGAAAATAGAAAATTAATTTGAATTCATTTTTTATGCGGTTTGTGTCATAACTAAATTGAATATATATTATAAATTAAAATTTGATTTCCTTCCTCCCTGTGTTTGTGCCAACTCCAATTCCGTTTCCTCAGTCGTATTTTAACTTCGGCAAGTGTTTACTGCTCGTTTTCTGCGCTTAGGTTCTAGTGAAAAGTTGTATTAAATTGTGATTTAAATTAAGTATTTAAGTGCAAAAAGTGTTTTGTAAAGTTTTTGTAGTGGTGCCGTTGTCTGCCGAGGGCCATCGTCCATATGTATGTATGCTTGTGTTCATAAACATGTTACTGATGAGGTCTTGCATTTCTACACTTCTCAATTGCTTTTTAATTTGGTCAAAAGAACGGGTGAGTCCCAGAAAATATTGCATATAGTTTAGATCAAGATAGTTTAATTTTAGCATTTTTATATGATGAAATGCTTTTTATATTTCAATACTATGTGCTTTTATTAGCGATTTTACTTGACTTTCGCGTATTTTTTGTACAGTAAATTACCACAACTTGCGTGTCACTGGAATTTTATAAGATGGTATATCTTTAAATTAAATTCTAAAAAAAAATTTTTGAATCGTTTTTGATTTTGAAATTTACGTAAACTATTCGGGACATTCCAAAACTTCATAAAGTTTAATTTGTTTTCAAAAATATTAATACGATTTTAAGCATCGGATAGCCCGTAAAAAAATCTATAGAAGTCATAGTTTTCGAACTATTTTTTACCATTTTCTGTCTAATTCCCAGCTAGTCGAAAAGTTGCTTGTTTCGCACTGTTCAGCGCGCTTGGGGCATTCGACGTGAATTGCCTCATATCTAAAGCTGCGACGTGCTTTTGGTCATACGTAATGCTTTACCAAATTGTAGCAATGGTGGAAAAGCAGAAGCAAAATGAGTATTTTCTACTATAAAGATTTTCTTCTAGTGTCAAGGCGTATTTTTTCAGTGTAGTACTGAATGATCAAAAGTGTTTGCATTCAATCAAAATTTACAATCACGATGACTGCGAATGCTTCTGTTACATTCGCATTCCATATTGCATGGAACTCCAACATTCGATAACACATTACGTTTGTTTTTGTTTCAAAATAGGTTATGTCTCTCATGAATGAGTTTTTTTTATACAATCAAACAATCAAAATTTTGAAAAGAATGCCGAGTGAATGCAGATCCAGTTGATTCAACCATTTTACAGCTCTGTTTTACAAGCCGCTTGTGTGGTGTATTTCGCCCTTAAGGCCGACTGATGGGCAATCGAATGCTGCATTGTCTAAAATTAACTATCGAGCTATCGATGAATCACTTATTTTATTTCCACCAGATGTGGCAACACCACCTTATCTGCTTTTATCAGCTGTTCATGCAAATTGTTTACTTCGCTTGGAAGCTATTCCTTCGCTTAATTATTACAATTCTCTTCATTATGTTCTTATCTGTCGTTCTTTGTTGACGCATTTGGAAACGTATACAAAATTCTAACATTTAGAAAAGTGAACGGACAGAGAAGAGCCGCAATTGTATGGGAAAAAGTGTACACGCGTCAAAGGCTCATCGGCGAACATATGTATTAAGTTTCGGTTAGAAAAGTAAAATAAATTTCGTATTACCATACGCCGTATAAAATTGTTAAAAAGATACAAAACATAAGCGCTGAATTTTTGGTGGACGCAGCAGGTGGGCGTATGGTACACGCGTGGTGTTAAAATGGTTTTCTTTTGCGATTGCTTCAACGGTGGCTATCAACAGATTGATGCGGCCAGACAAGGTAAGTCCCATATCACCAGATATCACTTAATGTAATTGTAAACTCCGTACTTATTTGTTTTCAAATCGGATGTGTCTAGGATCACGTCTAGGAGTACGACATCTGCAATGCTTCCTTGCCTTTTGCGGGCTGGCAATCGCTTATGCTTTGCGTGTTAATCTCTCTGTGGCTATAGTGGCGATGACCGATCGGAATGGAACAAATCCTGCATTTGAAGTGAGTTATTTATTTTTTATTTTCTATACACACTACATCAAGGTTTATAGAATACAAGATTCTCTACCTCGTAAAACATACGTGTACATATGTGGCCATGGATTATGCTAAAGTAGATGTGCTAATCAAACAGTATCTATGCAATTATTGTATTTACATATCTATTACATATCGAATTTGTAAAACTAAAATAACACCACCTTATCAATTGTTTTGTTGTTTTTGTTGTTCATCAAATGCGTCATCCCTGGATAAACGATATCTATCATATTTCAAACCTAAATTTTTTATTGAGTGTTTTGCACTATAAACTTACTGCATATGTAATTATGTACATAACTACATAAGTATTCCGCAACACAGTACTCCTCCACTTGTATGTACGTACATGGCTTGATTTCAGGAATTATAGAATATTTAGGTACATCTTGAATAAATATGTATTAATATATTATTTTTTGTGTGTTAAAACAAGGCTGCATATACTACACTACTATATACCATCTATTTATTCATTGTCATACACATGTATATTTATGCGAACATATGTTGTCACAATATACCTTTGTATATCCCTTACAGGAATACGATTGGGATGAAAGCGTTAAATCTTATCTTCTCAGCAGTTTCTTTTGGGGCTATGTGGTAACACAAGTGCCTGGTGGTTATCTCGCTCATCACTATGGTGCAAAATATACCTTCCTTTTTGGTGTTCTCATTTGCTCTTGCCTCGCTATTTTGACACCCGTTTGTGCCAGAATAGGAGATTGGCCTTTGGTGCTAGCGCTGCGTGCCACTCAAGGTCTATCACAGGGCATGATCTTCCCATCGACTCACACATTCCTCTCAAAGTGGGCACCAGCTGAGGAACGTGCTCGACTTGTTAGCTACTGTTATTCCGGTTCGCAATTCGGCACCGTGGTTATGCTTTTCGTTAGTGGTTACATAGCCTCTTCATGGCTTGGCTGGCCTAGTATATTTTATCTGTCCGGTATCGTGGGCATTTTATGGTCATGCGTTTGGTTTTACTACAGTTCTAGCACACCAAATGAACATCCATCGATTAGCGTAGCCGAGTTACGTTACATTGAGTCATCAGGTCAAACACGTCGTCCTTCGGATGCTGGGCGCACTTCAGATGTTCAAACTCAGGCGCACAAAGTGCCGTGGGCTAAAATGTTCACTTCGCCGCCATTTCTCACGCTAATTTTCGTACATTCTGCAAATAATTGGGGGTTTTGGACTTTACTCACCGAAATACCGACATACTTGAAAAATATACTCGGCGTGGATATACGCAATAATGGACCTCTCTCCGCGCTGCCATACCTTGCGATGTGCCTGCTCTCATATGGTTTCATCTTCTTGGCAGACGTACTAAATGCACGCAATCCAATGCGTTTGTGGGTGTCACGCAAGCTTTTCAACACCATCGGTCAGTGGGTGCCTATGGTGGCATTGATTGGCTTGGGTTACATCAATGCGGGTGGTAGTGTTAAATTGGCTATAGCTTTGTTGACCATAGCTGTGGGAGCTAATGCGGCCACCTATCTCGGCTCGCAAGTGAATCATATTGATTTGGCGCCAAATTTTGCCGGTACAATGATGGGTATTACGAACTGTGTGGCAAATGTAATAAGCATAATTGCACCGCTCACAGTTGGATTGATTGTCACAGATGAGGTCAGTTGAACAAATTACTTTATATGTATTGGTATATGTGTATAGTAATACATGTGTATGTTTATTTCTTTAGAGAAACCCAGCACAATGGCGTATTGTGTTTTATGTGAGCGCATTCTTTTACTTTGTTGGTAATCTGTTCTTCCTTATCTTTGGACGTACGAGCCCGCAGAAGTGGAATTTTCCAGAAACACGCACAACTGGTACTGAAAGCGGAGGCAGTATAACCAGTGAAGCACAGGATTTAAGTGATGACGAGAATGCACCGCTTAATCGCAGTGCTGCGCCGTAAATGCATGGAGGCATTAAATTATAAAACGAATATTCTTAGTTAGCACAAATTTGCATGTTTATTTCTGGCTAAACATTTTAAATCGTTGTGATAAGGAATAGCTTCTCTTTTTGGGTACTTTAACATACATATGTATGTAGTATTATATTTGAAATTAGAATTAAAGAGACGCACATGACATTTGCGATAAGAAACTTTTTTTTTAATAAATTAGTATTTATAAGATTTACTTCTTAAGCATTTTCGGGATCGAAACTTCTTTCATTTACTCCTGGCTCGAAATTCTATTATCCATAACCAAAAGTTTAAGCCGTTACATACTTTAAACAAGTACATACGTACATATATAATAAGCGATTGAAATTTGGAAATTCAATCATCTTCGGTTAATGAAAATATTGGAGTAAATAACTTATAAAATAAAATATGATATCCATGTTTATCTTGTATCTTCGTAAAGTGTAACAGTAATTTATTTTAAATATTCATATTAGAGTCATGACCCAGAAAATTGAGTACACTTTTCTTCAAATATATATTTTTTGTGCATTTATCTAAATTGCTGATCTAACTATGTATGTATGTATGTATATATTGCTATACATATTTAAATTAATTCAAAGTAAGTTTATTCAACTTTTATAATAATATACATACAACATGCATAAGTATGTAAGTAGAAAAATAAAAGTATAAATGGAGTTAAGAAATATTTTGTCAATGTAATAAAGTGTCTTTGATAATCAATAAATGTTCATATTGTATATATTTATGTATGTATATACATATGCTTCAAGGAAATATTAATTGTGGTTTTAATACTAATTTTAAATACGTGCATACATTTTCAACTTAATTTACATGCCTTTTTGAAAGCTAGTATAATTTGTTTGACGGCCGCTTTCACCGAATGGCTGGTGTTTTCTTCTCACTCTTGTCTACAATAAAAATTTGAAGCTCACCAGCCACCAGGGCGACTTTCACTAAGTGATGATCCGATTCGAAACCGTTTGCTTGCAAAGTATTCAGGAGTTAATTTCAATGTCGGGTCTCCCGTTGTTATATAAGTCCGTTGGTCTCTGATAACGGGTTTCATACGACGAGAACTGATAAAGTTTGAGTAAACTACTTTTACTGCCTTTCTATAGTCCGTGTAGCCCAAAAGCCATACTCAGACATTCCTGCGTGCGAGGACGATGGGAAGGGCCATCGCTGCTAAGTATTAGGGCAGGTGGTTTGTTAGATAGCAATTTGAGCGTGATATATTAGGGACAGTATTTGGAGCTAAAATATTTCATACACCTGTTATTTAGGAAGGTCATGAAGCTATGTTGATGCCCTCTATTAGCACTGTATGATTAATAATGACAAAAACTTTCGATACGTCCAATGTAGCGACAAATTAAGTTGTGACTAGCATTTTTTTTTGTAAATGCATAGACGCCGGGGGCTAGCACTTACTCTATCCACTTCCAAGATGGTCGGTTCTACGCACACCGGTTCGTCGCGGTGCACAAACTCCGATCAAGGACCATCGCATAACGCTGATGATAACGTCGGAGATAATACCAGCGGCAGAACAACCCGGCCTACAACCAAACACTCCCTGTACAGCAAGCTGCACAGGTGTAACTGACACCTGACCGAAATGAATCAAGAATCAAAATAAGATTGCTGGGGTAGTCAGTTTTATAGGAGTGAAACTCCACTCTGTCTGGAGTCTTCAATATCAGGACGAGTTTAACGTTCTCCGAAGAGATAGTCCTCGCACCGACGAAGGCGGAACGGCTTTCATATTTAATAATGCGGTACAATATCTCATCCTACTCAGATCATCACCGAGATGTGGAAAACAGTTAGGGTAATTCCACTTCTCAAGCCAGGGAAGCAGATGGATGCCTCGTATAGACCCATCTCATTTCTATTCACAGTGACAAAAACCATGGAAGCCCTACTCTGCAGCCTGCCCCCTGAAACTAGCCGATAGCCGCCATGGATACCAAAAATGTACAGCATCACCACAGTATTATAAGCCATCACCACACAGATAAGCGAGTGTCTGAACCAACGTCGAACATGTGATAGGACGGTCCTACTCGCAGTAGACCTCTCAAAGGCATTCGACTCGGTGAGTCATGCGACTCTTTGCCAAGGCGACCTAGACTAGTCGCTTCTAAATCGACTGTATTCATAAAAAAAACTCCCTCCGTCGCCAGCTGGAGTCTACTCGGTGAGCTACGCTGATGATTGTACGAGGATGGCTACGGGCCAAAACATCGACAGCCTATGCGTTAAAATCACTGACTATCTCCCCAATCTTTCAAGTTTCTTCACAACCAACCCATCGCAACACTTCGCCACCCGGCACCTTCCGTAGGCAAACGAAGCTCCTACAATTTAACCCTAACGGACTATAGAGCAAGATCGAGTAGATAATCGTCTTTATGGGCCGTCATGGAATATTAATAGCTGCGGTCCAAGAGACAAAGTTACACAGCAATTCAACGCCGGATACCATATACATCGTGGTGATCGCTAGAAAGGTAATGGTGGTAGCCTTGCGTTTATCACGAACCACACCGTGCAGTATCGTCTCATCGAAGCAGACATTGACCACAGGGATACAATACTAGAATGTCAGATTATAGCTATCCGGTAAGGCGATGTCGAGCTCGAAATATTTAACGGTTATATACCCCTGTCACCAAATTCCCGTCAGGATATCACCCTGAAATAAGTGCGCTCCTCAAAGGTGAAAACCGTGTGGTTCTAAACTACGCAGCGCCAGTGTGGTCGCCGGGGCCCAGTAGGACGCAGTGAATAAAGGTACAGACTACACAGAATACAGCACTATGGACAGCGACCATATGTCTTCTGATGTCGCCAACACATTATTTACACGACGAGGCGCAACTGCTCCCCATTAGGGGGCACAACACAATGCCCTGCAAGCAATTCTTAGTAGGAATCACAGACCCGAACAGACAGTTGTTTGCAAAGGAGCCCTCGCCAAGGCACGTCAGACGGCATCTATACGAACTGACGGACGAAGTCCAGAGGTTCATAAAGAAACACGAAAAAAAGCGAAGAAAAATTCAAACCCGTTCAAAAGTTATAGATTATTGATCACTCAAACCCCCCCAATAAAAATACACTGTGCGTCGCACAATAATCTTCACAGCGATGCAGTCAGAATGAGTCTCAGCACTCGTAAGGACAATATCGTTCCAACCCTCTTCGCATGCACCTCCAGCTCGACCACCCTGACACTTGAAGGCTTATGGACTGCGCCCACAGACGTCGGCCGCTTTCTTGGCCTCAGGCTTGCTGAGTCGTAGGATGTAGATGAAATCCCGGGGGTTGAGGACTGCTGCTACTACAACAATGTACCAATGAGTTTAATTTATAAGGCGATAAAGTTATCATTTTTCAAATGAAACTGATAGTTGTAGGTTTATATTAGATTTATTGGATCTCTAAATATATTACATACAGACTTATGATTACTTAATTTGCCATAAAGTACAGCATACTAAAATTTTAAGTGTGCTTGTAAGATATACATATATGTATATGTACAAACATACATACGCACATACTATATCGTATTGTAAATCGTTTCGTTTCTTTGTTAATTATAAAATATATGCAATTACTTTTGCAGACAAAATACGAACGTATTTATTATTTAATTTATTTCAAACTTACACTAAAATTAAAATAAATGAAACAAAAACTAACTGGACGCGTCACAGGTTTTTGCATTCAACTAAACTAGATTTTCGATAAAGCTAAGTGATTACAATAAAATTATTTATGGATGTACATATGTATATATGTATGTATGTAAAATAAAATCGTTAACATAACATACATATGTAGAGAGCGCACACTAGTAATGAAGAAAATTTCAGAAGAAGGCTAATTCATAACTACTATTTGCTAAAGATTAAGAGGCGAACCGAGGTTGGTAAATAAACAGTGCTCTTCTGTTAGTTTTTAAGAGTTTATACTGTAAGTACAGTTTATGTATGTAGTTATTGAAATTATTAAAATTTTTCATCTCCCGTTTCTTTTTTTTATTATCACAATCTACTCTTCGAACACGAACTTGCATATGAATTTAGTATACGGTTATGCCAATCCCTTAGAATGCAAATCACTTTCACTATTTCCGCCGCGTTGCAAGTCTCGAAACGTACAAATAAACATACTAAGTTCTTAAGCTTCTGCTTTACTTCTATACATATTATTGCAATTTATGATTCGACGGCAAATCTTCCGATCGTATACAACGTCCGCGATAACAAATCTCTGTTTCAGATGTCACTTTCGTCGATGTGGATGTCGCATATACGACCTGATCCATCAAGTTCTTCTGTAATGGCTTCTTATCAGCTGCTGCCGTCTCAGCTGCCACTGAGGGCGTTGGCACTGTTGTTGCGGCCGCTACGGCTGCCACATTCATTGCTTGTGTGGTTGTATCCGGCTTTGTTCGTTTGATATTCATATATTCTTGACGTCTCTTGCCAACTGCAGCCAAGGCAGCAGTCACTGCATGATCTTCGGATTCATCGATTGCGAAGAGATCATGAAGTTGCCGCTTGACTTCAGAGAATATGCTTGGCTGTGATTCCAGATCATCTACAGCTTCGTCCATGCGTCGTGTGGCGCTCTCCGCTGTGACGCTTTCGACTTCATTTTCCGCTGGCGCGATTGTCGTTTTATCTAGAGCTTCATCCATGGCTAGTGTTGTTGCGTAGGAGGTGACTTCTAATTGATCGGGCGTTGTTGGCTCCTCGGTGTACACGGTGCTGGACGGGCTAGCAGTTGTTGTTGTTAGCGTGGTTGTTGTGATCTTGCCGCCGGGCGCCGGTGTGAGTGGTGTAGTCGTTTTGAGTTCGTTGACTATTTCATCTGTAGACTTTTCATTTCCATGTAGCGAGTTGTAAAGCTGGGAACCAAGACTTTGTGATTCGGCGGTCTCAAAGCTTTCGTTGTTTTGCGTTGTAGGCAAATGGAGCTTCTTGAATTTGTTACGTCGATTGATGCGATTAAATATTGTTGTCTTTTGCGATTCGAAGAATGTGCCGTCTGTGGTGCGCGTGCTAGTTTCTTCAACAGATTCGAGCGGTTTTTCCTCTGGCGCCTTGCCCATGACTTCCTCCAGAAGTTCGGCAAAGGATTTCTCGGGCCTGGGAAATAGATTTTGGAGCAATTATTTACCGACTATCAAGTAATACTTATAATAAACTGGCTATGACTTACTTCAAATTGGGTGCCTTAAGTGTGGGTTTGGCTTCACCAAAGCTGGCGGATACATTTACTTCATAATTATCAGATTTTTTACCATCTTCAGGTCCGATTGTTACAATTTCTGGTTCCTCATCGAATTTGTGCTCATTCTCCTTAGACTTCTCCTTCGGGTTCGTTGGTTTGAAGTGGTGATTGTTGCCGAATTTCAATGCTGGCGACCATTGCGACTCTTGACCATCCAGCTGGAAGCTAGGACGGTGGCGACGTCTTTGTGGTGGTGTTGCCTTAAAAAAATAAAAAAATTAAAAATCATAAATCTTCTTCTTTCGAGCCTAAGTTATCAAAACCTACGTCATTTTCGTACAAATCGTGATTAAAACGATTTATTTTGCGTACGTTACTCTTTGGCTCTTCGACTTCGGCTTCCTCTTCTGGGTTTGTCGTTGATGAGACTGGGCGGCGCGTACGCGTGCGTACCTTGATAACCTTCCGCGGCGGTAGGCGTGGACGTAGCTGTGAGTGAAATGAAATATTAGTAAATGTAGCCTAGCTCTCTACTGCCGTCTTCCCTAGTTACTCACCGAGGTTTTTGTCTCTGCCTCTTGTGTAGTGGTAGTCGGTGCCTCGGTGGTGGTGGTGCGTAACCGTGGATAATTTCTGCGTATAAATGGTGAACGTCTTGTGGTTACTTGGGGCTCTTCACTTGTTGTTGTTGTGGTTGGAGTAGGTGTAGTGGTTGGTAAAGTGGTGAAGACAGGATTGATTTCGTTGCGAATGATTGGTTCTGTGGGACCAAAATCTTCCTGATTAGGGAAGTATCCGGGCCCGAAATTGTCCTTTGTATACTGACTATACTGCTGAGCGATTTGCATTGGCTCCAACATGCCGGCTGGGAAGGTCTGTTCATTTGTGCCTACGGTGTTGCTGGGTGTGACTGTGTAAACTTGTTGTGTCTCAGAGGTTGGTGCCTCAGAGCCGCTGTTCGTAGCATATGAGCTGGGTATCCCTGTAGGACTGGATTGCGTGCGCGATGATAGTGGTTTAATGATTGGGTAATTTTGTTTCAACACATCGCGTTGGTAGTCCAAATCTTCATCTTTTCCGGAGTTGCCATACTTCTTACGCTGCTTAGTGCGCAGCGTCTGGCGTTCTTCTGGAGTCGGTTGGTAACGGATGCGGTTAGGATTGCGTATTAGGGGGTTTCGTGCCGCTGAAGGTGGACGACGTGTGGTCGAAGTGGCTTCTTCTTCACCATCGGGAGATGCTGGAGTGCTAGCTGTCGCACGCGCGCCAAACGGACGGCGAACACGTTGTATAGGACGGCGTGTAGAGGTTTCCGTTTCAGAGTAAGAAACAGAGGATGTAACTTTGGACACAAGAGGTTTGCGCACACGATTGATGGGGCGTCTTGTTGGGCGTGTAGGCAGCTCCTTCTCCGGCTCACTGGGTGTAGTAGTGGCAAGTTCTCCTATGGCATTTTGTTTGTCCTTCTCTTGCAAATTATTCACTAGGCCTGGCAAATTTGGTGTGAGTGGTGGCAGTTCTGAAGGCACATGGTAAGGATTGGGGTCATATTCCACAGTGCTATCGGGTATCTCGTTCTGATTGTACAAAGGTCGATGGTTTGAAGGTTGCTTACGCTGCGGTTTCAATTCACCCTCAATAACCTTCTCTTGTTGTAGCTCTGCAAAATCGGGTTGCTGTACGACGTTGTATGCATCTTCCGGTGCTGAGCTGCCAGGTTGGGAAGGTGAATAGAAAGTAACACGTTGTTTGGTAGGCGATGTGGTCTTATGAGTCGTTGAAGGCGCATTGACATCACGCCCGTAGTCCAAGTCGACAGGCGTGTATTGCACCTGTTCGAAGGGCGGATTAGTGGGACTAACGATTTGTGGACGATTGCGGAAAGCTTCCTGCTGACGATAATATTGCTTCATGCGGTACTCTTCCTCTGGCGAAGTGCTGCTGGGCGGGCGAGTGGTGAAGCGTGGAGCTTGCTCCTCAACAGGCTCCTTTGGTATGGTGTCAAAAGAGTAGAGGGGTCCGTTTGCACTCTGGAACTCAACTTGCCCATTGGGATTGAATGAGTAGAATGTTTGTGCCGGCGCAGCTGTTGTTGAAGTAGTGCTAGTGGTTGTAGTCGTAGTGCTAGTCGAAGTAGATGTACTAGGTGAAGGACGGCTCGACTGAACTTTATAAATATCATCATTGGTTATTTGGTTGGGCACAGGCTGGAATTGGGCGTAAGGATTATTGATGGTTTGTGGGAAAGCGGGCTGCTCAATTGGTTGTTGTTGCACGTTTTGTGGACGCTTCTTCTTCGGGCGATCGTGTTTGGTGACCTTTGGAGAGCTCACCTCATGGATAGCGTCTTGATTATAGAAGTAATTGAACTTGTTGCCGCGTGTCGGTGGAAGTGTTGAGCGTTGAGTCGTGATCTCATACTGATCGCGGTTTTTGTGCACAGGCTCATTGAGTACCGCTGCTGGATAGTAGTCCTTTGTGGCAGATGGCTGCTTCACGCGGTGTGGACGCACGCGCTGTGTGGGCGGTGGTGACTGATACTGACTAATATCATTTTGACTGTAAACAGCACTTGGCTTGGCCGGCTGGCTAAGAACCGCTTGTGGAGCGCTGCTGCTCTTGGCGAGATTTATAACAATTGAACCCACATGCGGTTCTGGTAGCAGGATTTTATTGAAACCACTTGGTGTGCGATAGCTCAAAGGCGCTACGAAGAACGGAATCTCACGCAGCTCGCGTGTCTGTGCCAATTGAGACAAGTAGGGCAGATCGAATTTCACATAGCCATCTGGTGTAGACATACCAGCAGGACCAACAAATATTTCGGGTATCTTCTTCGTAGGTGCATCAATGACTGCGATGGTGTTGGAATGACGTAAAGCAGACACCACATCGGTTTGCGTGGGACGCACAGAGTTGCGCACCAAAAACATGGCAAGTGGTGGCTGATGTGCCTTTGGCTTGGGACGTGGCGTAGTTGGTTGTTGATTAGCGTAATTCTGGAAGATTGTGGTTGGCTTCAACGTTGTCGTCTTCGGACGGCTTGTGCTGGTAGTGGTGCTGCTGGCGAAGTAGTTCTGCTGATCTATCGAATCGAGTGAGTCTTGCGTGTAAAACTGATTGATTTGGAAGGGATTGACAGTTGGTAGGCCCGCGTTGACATTATACTTATTCAATTCGAAACCTTGTGACTCAGGCTTCTGTTGATTAAAGAGCGTATCGTATGGCACATAGAGCAATTGTACATCTTGTTGGCTGCCACCATTACTTGTAGGCAACGAAGCAGGTGCTGTCGGTGCGCTACCCGACTGCTGGTAGGGTGCTGTTGGTGCGATATCAGTATGCTGGAACGGCAACTGAGCATTGAAAGATGACGGCTTATTCAAATCAAAAAATTGATCAACTTGTTGTTCTACAGGGAAAACTTGTGGTGTGACGCTTTGCAGAGATTGTTGCGTCGGATTAGGTTTCGATTCGCGGTAGACGTTCTTGCTCGGGAAACTATCTTCGATGTAATTCTGTTGCGGCAGCGGTTTTTGTAAAGTCTGTTGTAGCGGCTTCTGTGGTATGGGGTGGAATTCTGGTGGGAAAACGGGTTGCTGATTGAACAGCGGTGAGCTAAAGAGCGTGGCTTGCGCGCCACCACCGAGTATATGCTGAATCTGGTAGCCAGTCTGCAATGAGCCGGGAGAAGAGCCCGGTGCACCATGACTGCCACCCTCTGTGCGGAAGGGCATTTCGAATTTGAAGAATGACTGCGAAGTTGGCTCACCGCTTTGCAATGACGAAGCAGCAGGCGCAGCAGCCTTTAGTGGTGGCGCGCCGAAAGGTGAACCGACTTGTGAACGTGGTGGTGGTTGATTGGCAAAACGTTGAAACTGATAGGGAAAATCGAATGGCTGCTGCTGAGACACGGGCGGATTATGCGGTTTGGGCAGATCACCGAAACGGCCATTCGGTGGGTAAGCCTGTGAGTAGGTGAGCACACGTGCATTTGCGGAACGATCTTTGGCAGTAGAACTATCGACTGGCTGTGCCACCGGCACCCAATCGAAAGAGTCCGATACGCCTGGCGAAGTCGGTTCTAGTTGGCGTGACCATTTTTCGGCGGCATGTGCGCGCGCTAACCAGCACACAAGCAAGCAAGCGAGTAGCGTGCTGATTGGAGTGTTAAACATTTGTAGTTGCCGGATCATTGTTGGGTCTGTAAAAGTGAAAAAGAATGGAATGAAGGTGGCTAGTATTAATTGAGAACAAATTGTTATTACTAGTAATTGGTATGGCATGCGCAACGTGATCAAGCGCAAGAATTTTATAATTGTTGTGTGTACATTAGGGTGCACCGCCAATCAAAAAATTAAATAAAATTGCGTTTTCTCCAACGCAGTTTTAAAATTTATTATAATTTAAGACTTTCGCCAAAACATTTTAGAAAAATTTTAAGATTTACTTTGGTCTAGCTGAAGTTGAAAAAAACCTCCAAAAATCTCATTATATTCATGCCATTCATAAAATGTTTAAACATTTTTATGCAGACCTTTTAAGCTTAAACTCTACTATCATCCGAGGTGACTTAAAAAAACAAACTAATTTTATTAAAAAAAAACACGATTTTTGTAAAAATTTTCAAATAGGTAAATCGTAATATTTTCTCGATAAATTTTTGGCGTACGTCTTGAAATATGAAACAATTTGTATTTCCAATTGAAGAACAGTACCTATGTTTTTGTTTGTTTGTTTGGAAAGTGGTATACCCTAATGTATTACATATGTGGTAGCACACTAAAAGCTACTTATACTTAGATTGAGAATATAAAATCGCTGACTTAAACTAGGAAGTATGAACTATATGCATATTTTTTTTGTTGCATAAATTATAGCAAGTAGTCAACGTCGAAACCTCCACACATTTGACTTCCTTTGGTTTCGAAACTCGCCACCCGCCAATTTGCTTACGATCAGTAGTCGCGAATTTGAAATCAAAGCGCATTCGAAATTTTTACATACAAATTTCTGCCAGCATTAAAAACAAGTACTAAGTAAAGCAAGTTATACTTGAGTAGCTAACTCCATTTGCCNTACTTATACTTAGATTGAGAATATAAAATCGCTGACTTAAACTAGGAAGTTTGAACTATATGCACATTTGTTTGCATAAATTATAGCAAGTAGTCAACGTCGAAACCTCCACACATTTGACTTCCTTTGATTTCGAAACTCACCACCCGCCAATTTGCTTACGATCAGTAGTCGCGAATGTGAAATCAAAGCGCATTCGACGATTTTACATACAAATTTCTGCCAGCAATAAAAACAAGTACTAAGTAAAGCAAGTTATGCTTGAGTAGCTAACTCCATTTGCTATAATTAGGTACCTATCGGCTAAGCAATCATTTTACAAATTATATGCGTGCTCCCAGTCCACATACCATTAAAACAGCCAGCGATACCTTGCCAACAATTTCTGTTTGTATGCATTGTGGTATCTTGCAGCAGCACTATCGCCCGAATCTATAATTTACATACATACAAATGACTTTTTCCGAACTTTGCATTGACAGCGTTTTGACTTCCTTAATGTCGTGCTTTAGTTTGTGGTTTTAACACTTAACAGCCAATTTCCTAAATTCATACATTTTTGNTATGCATTGTGGTATCTTGCAGCAGCACTATCGCCCGAATCTATAATTTAATTCGTATGCTCTAATCGTCGTCGCCATTATATGTACATACAAATGACTTTTTCTGAACTTTGCATTGACAGCGTTTGACTTCCTTAATGTCGTGCTTTAGTTTGTGGTTTTAACACTTAACAGCCAATTTCCTAAATTCATGCATTTTTATGTATTTCTCCACTACGCTGCTCCCTGTAAACTGCTTTTGCTTTGGTTTTTGTGGTTTTGGTTGATTTCATGGTGGTACTTAGCCACACTGTTTGTTGCCGCAAAAGATAATCTATAATTGGAATTTTCTACAAATTTTTTTACGATTTCCGCATTCCCCCATAAATATTGCAAAAAAGTAAAATAATTGCATAATTTCCTTGACATTCAATTTCGTATCTTAATTGAAGTTGCAGTGAAATTGTTTGGATTATGACAAAATTTGCGGTAATAGTTCGCCTGCGGCTTTTGAAGTTCAGGTTCAATGTTGATAAAATACGGCGAGGGCATGAAAGTACTTAGTCATGCATGCAGGTGTAAATATACGTATGTATGTGCTTATGAGAAGTGTTTTTAAGTTGGTTTGAAATCAAAACTCTCAATAGGGAAAAATGTATTAGTTATGTCGTCACTCGCCAACTAAGATTTCTCTATATTTATATTGTTACAATTGTGGTGAGATCCGATCCCCGATCGACGGCAATGTGGGATCCTCACTGGCTAACTCGTCTATAGCTTCGGTCACGGCACTTTGCGATTGCCAAAATAAATCTTGACGAAGCTGACTACTTACTTCATTCAAAAGAGTCCTACACTTTTTTTGATCACTTTCGACCTAAAAAGTTGTAAAAGACGCCAAGGCCATAAAGGTTGCCTGAAAGAAATAGTGCTGCTCAAAAGTATCCAACCTTCCAGCGCCGATGCTTTACCAGCTTAGTCATTTACATAAATATGATGTCGAGGAGGTAGTAGGTCCTCTTTCTGTTGTACGCAGAATGCGCCCACTGTTAACAAATTTATTTCTCCTTACCAGTGCGGATTCTTTTTCTTATTTGGCACTATAACTGTTGGTCAATTTGTGTTATACCAAAAAGCTTCGCCAACTGCCTCCCGCCTTTGCGGATTTCCGCGAATTATTCATCAGAGATTTCTAGAGCGTAAATTTTTTTCGTCGAGAGATGGGGGTCTGCTTTTCAATTGCCTACCGAGCCCAAAGTACTACCTGTGGGCGGTAGTACCTGCTAAATCCATCACAAACCCGACACTTGCTAAGGGATAAGGGCCTGATTTTTGATTTTACCGACTTTTCAAAGAGATCTTCAATTCATTGTTGGAGAATATAATTTGACCTGCAGAACTTACAACTAACTCATTCAGGACCTAATCGCATGGCTGTTCTGTTTCTTCTGGTGAGATATTGGAGAAATGTCCTTCCTACTACAGACTTTCAGCTGCTAATTGATCAGTATGCAAGAAACTGGATTTCTGAGTAGAGACTAAGCTTATATGAAAAGTAGGTTCGTGGAAACCGCCATGAATTCCGTTCTTAGGGTTAAAGAAGAGCCTTTGGAAGGCAAATAGTTTACGGTTGCATATTGAGATGGGCTTTTAATAACGTATTACCGGAGGCCTTAAGCAACCTCGATGTTGAGACTAACGTAATTGCGCTTATATCACGCGTGCTCTGGGAGAGAACTTCCATTGCTGAATGAGAGTGTGCCTCTCTCGAGTAGAGGTAGAGGTATTCCTCTGGTTTGTTGTCATTAATGGCATCCTAGAGGAGCTGGAAAGGAGAGGATGTCGGGTAATCTAATGGCGTTTTCTTTTCTCGAAAAGAAATGACACCTTCTTATATGCCAACATTATCAGAGTGCAACATTTTAAAGAAAGAGCACGCAATATGCATGTAAAGATGCTGAGTAAAAAACACGAAAACTTAACAGCGCTAGCGTAGGGCAGAATAAATGGAACATTATTTCGCGAAAAGAAAAGGCTTTAATATGCCGATGATGTGACACTTATTGTCAGAGGTATGCTTCTCAACACGCGTTTACCGATCTTATACAGGATTATCTAAATTTGGTCCTAAACAGGATTGCAAGCTGCGATATCATTATAAATCCTGGCAAGACCGGGATCGTCTTGTTCATAGGAGATACATATCAGGCACCTGATGCCCAGCTGATACCCCGATCCGTGGCACCCCACTTGTTCTGGGTAAGTCAAATACTTGCGAGTAATTCTTGAAAAAGAGCTTACGTACGGATCAAATATCGAGGAGCGAGGGAGGAAGGCGTCCGTTACACTTTAATGCTGTTATCTTGTGGCTGCATTACACCATTTAGTGGAACTCACTGGAAAGGTCGACACTGTCTAAGCGAATGGAAAGTGAGCAAAGGCCAGCCCTAATTGAACTAAGTGGGTTACATCGCGATACTCCAACGCTGGATTTAAACGTGATGCCAGGCATCGTAGTAGACATTTTAGGCAAAGTTGCTGCGGCCCGCTCTGCCAATCTGGGTCTTAGCTTGATAGCAGAGTTCGAGAAGCTGTCTTCTGTGAGGAACTACTTTTAGATATTAAATTTAGGTTTACACAATTGTGTGGCGCATTCCAAGCAGAGTTAGTTGCCATCAAAGAAGCAGCCGATCGGTTGCGCACTTATGTAATAACGTTTAGAGCCAAGCGGCGATCAGTGTCCTGCAATCGGCGATGGTAAGGTCGAAATTGTTCTAGGATTACCAGCTATCTCACTCTATTGCCTCGGATTATTTCCAAACTAGACTGATTTGGGTTAAGGGGCACAGCGATATTGCGCGAAAGTGGTGTGCCTATGATGCGGCCAGGCAGGACACCCTGGAAACCATTACCAATGAAAGGGAGAGCACTGGAGTACCTATGGGCTTTTAGTAAGCTCAGCGAACTCTGGGCGCAAACCTCGGTATACAAGTTGAAAGGTACTTTTGTCCTGCTTACTAAGCGACAGCTGTGGGGTTCTGAATTGTTTATGCCAAATATGAATTCATGCAGTACGTCTTAATATTCAACACTACCTATTTTGCGAAGCTAAGGTTTAAACATCTCGGAGGGTTTCTCGGCAATTTTCTGAAATACATTGTTCCACAGAAACTCTTAAGAGTGAGCATAAGCTGCTTACGGAACTACTTAATGAGCACCCAGCGATTTTCTATGCTTAACTGATATTGAATTGAAATACAAACTGCGGGGGTTTGGTGATGAATGAGGACAAAACAAAGTATCTTCTGTTACCAAACAATATATCTGCGTGGCGAGTCAAAAGCAACAAATTAATATCTTTTTATGTGGTACAACTTAAAATATTTTTCATGAATATAGCTACCTTGATTACCTAGATTCACCATAAACCCTGCACGAAATTCCCAAGCCGCAGTGACTGAACTCGAAGAAAAGGTACAGTCTTTACGGACGAGCCAAAGATGCAATGTCGGGTTGGGTTGATGCGCGGGAGTTTTCATTGAGCGATATAACTCAAAGTTATCCTTTCGCCTACCAGACTATG